ATCTGCCCATAACTAATTCATTAACTTTTGTTGCTGCTTCTGGCCAATTGATTCCACTGGGGGGGGGGGGGACAACCACTGTAGTTAAGAACTCTCTCTTCATCTCCCAAACAAGTTGGTGCTGACAGGCTAACAAAAGCTACTCCAAATTCTACACTGTTTGGTAAAACAATAGAAGGGTAAAATCCAGAAATGGCAGTAAGTTTATATGTGGACAAACCACATTTCTATCTCCCAAGACCAGAATTAGATTTTGGACATTTGAACCTGACATGCCTTAGAAAGAGTGACAGGAGGAAAAGCGTAACAACTATTTGTGGGAATTCTGGAAAAACCAGGAAAGGATAACAGAGTGGGAGGCAAAAGCAGGAAAAGCAAAGAGAATAGCAGCAGGAACACAGTCAAGCAGGAAGTGCAAAACAAGACTGAAATTTGGAGGGGAGAACACATCAGGGACAGAGCAGCAGAGAAGCTTGAATGTATGGTGTGGCTTCCTTCCAGCCCAAAACATTTCTATTTAAGTGAATAAACAGTAGTTTTAAACATAGCTAAAGAAAAGGTCAAGAGGTCCCACAATCTCCTGTCTGAATGATTCATTCTAGACAGCAGCCTTGAGAGATTCTGTCCAACTGCTGATTAACAGCACTACCATTTTGCCATAATGTTGCATAAAAACTAATACATGAACCTCCTTCCTTTTCATTTATCAGCTGCCGTATCTGAAAAGTCCTTTGGATTGGAAGAGAGATTTTTCTGGGTCCTCATATCATGGTCCTGATATTCATGAATAAATCATATACTGCACTGTCTGTGACTAGGGAGTCAACAGGAACACAGAAAAGTGCCTCAGACTGAGCAATAGGATTAGCTCCATATTGCTTCCCTGACTAGCAGGGTCTTTTTTCAGGCCTTGACACAGAAATACATCTCTAGATTATCCCGAGATGCTGAACACTGAGCTTAAGAATTTAAAACAATTTGTGCTCCGCCATCAGTTTAGAAGCCTTCTGTCAAAATAGCCCTTCATGCCCCCACTTGCAAAGGACATTATCTTCCACCTACTGTGCCCATGAGGGCTGGATGTGATGAAAAAGGATAAGGATGAGGATGTGATGTTCCTCCCCAAAAAAGTACGCTTTTGTTTTCAAAGGAATACAGTGGCATGTGCTGCTGTTTATGTTCCTAACACTCCCCAGATTCACGTCTTCATTTCAGTTCTCTCTAAATTTCGGTGTCCTGGGACAAAGCCCCAGCTATTCTACTGGTATTGCAGTCAGTCCTGTCACTGCTCTAACCATTTCCTACCCCATCTCTGCAGCTCACTCTTGTGGCAAGGGTGCTAAAGTAGATACACAGCTTGCTCTCCTCATTCCACCGAGCCGTTTTCCTTCTAGACTGAGTTGGAGAGGGAAAAAGACATTCTTGTCAAGACCCAAGTTCTGCTGCCTGTGGCATCCATGCTACTGACCACTGATCTAGCCTACTGCCAACTTCTTTATTCCACATATTCCAACGAACACCTTTTGGTACCAAAGGAGAATCTTTTTCAATTCCTCAGACTCCTTGTTGAAATTTTCAGTGGGTTTTTTGCACCAATGTTATTCTGTGATGATCATTTTAGTCTGGTTTTATGATGTTGGCACTCTTAATTCTGTTTCAGATTTCATCCTTATGTCTTATTTCACTTCATTCTTCCGATTTCTATGGTAAACTGACAAGAGAAACATTTCCTATCGCTTGGCATACAAATATTGTACATAAATAATATGCCAACCTCCATCTTTCCTAGAAGATGCCTGGCCCAGCCTTCAACTAATGAGGCTACTGACAGCCTGCATGTTGTGGTGAGCTGCCCATTTATAGTCACTCTTAGATACAGGAGATCTAAAGAACAGCAACCTCTTCACATTTTTAACACATCTGTACAAAGCTTGATACATAACTGCCCTGATCAGACGAAGCTGTTCCTAGATTAGAGGAGAGGCAGATGCCAGCTCAGATCTCTAGGTATCTGGAACACATTTCCAGATCCACAGAAGGAAATATCAAATTGCATGTCTGTCCACTGAGATCAAGAGTCTTCTTTGCACTCATAGTCAAAAGCCACAGACTGTAATCCTATAGACTCGGGGTCCCCAACTCCTGGTCTGTGGCCTGGTACCGGGCCGTGGTCTTGGCAGGACTGGGTTGCCAAGACAGATCTCCCGCTCCCCTGCACACACTCCCCCATGCACGCCCACCCACATGGGTGGCACGCCCACTCCCTGCCTAATCGTGCATGCACAAGTGTGCACCTCGCCCACTCGTGAGTGCACCCTGCCCACCCCCGCAGGCATGCACATGTGCCCTGCCCACCCCCGCACACGGGGGTGACCCCCCCACACACGGACCCCACCCCCCAACCAGTCCACAGTTAGGAAAAGTTTGGGGGCCACTGCTATAGACCAAGACAGTTGGATTATTCTAAACAACAAAACCATAACCAGCAAAGCTAATGCCCTGTGCCAAAATGTGTCATGTTTCCATTAGTTTTATTTGTACCTTATAAGCTGGTTGTGGTTTTATTGTTGTCTTCTTAATTAGAGACACACATAATGCACTGCCAATGTATTGATTTATTAGGAACTGGAGGGGGCTGAACTTACTATCAGAACACCTGCTCCCAGCCAGATCTGTCCGTAATACCCGTTCTTCACAGGCAGGGCGGTTGAGGGCCTTGACCCCGAAGGAGGCCCAGAGGGAAAGAACTAGAAACTGGGCCTTCTCGGTGGTTGCCCCCTGCCTATGGAACAACCTGTCTATGGAGATAGGCCTGGCACTCTTGTTGGATGGATTCAAAAGAACATTGAAGACCTGGCTCTTTTGCTAGGCTTTCCCAGAGCACTAGGATCTTGCCCTCCCTTTTCACCGTTCTTTTTGCTATCCTTGCCATCACCCTTTCCACCACCTTACTGCCACCTGTTTTAATTTCTGATTTGCTATGCATTAACTTATTTTTATCATTTTTTAAAGTTTTTTCTCCTTATATTGTTGTTAGCCGCCCAGAGTGGCCTGGTTGCCAGATGGTGCGGGATATAAACTCAAATAATAAATAAATTAAAAATTCTCTATAAGAGCCTCACAAGGTCCACAGCTTCCAGGATTAGATGGGATTGCAGCCTCCTCAACAACTCTTCCCCAATGCCCTCCTTAGAGGGCCATTTCGCAAAGCCATTTGTTGACCATGAACCACTCCTGCCGGTCCACAGCTGCAGAAAGCATGGGCATGCGGCCAGAAGCTTTCAGTAGCTCCTGGTTAACTGAAATTGCTTATTTGAGAGTTGCTCTTTGCCAAAGACAGTTGCAAATAATAATAAAAAGCTACTTGGAGAATAGTGAACTCAAGAAGTAAGAAAGCAGCTGTTTTCCATGGAAATTAATCCTGGAGAATGCAGCGGCAAAGACTTTTCCCCACCCTCACCCCACCCAGAAGCTAACAGTGGTGCATGGCGTAAGGGCACTGTTTCTCAGGCCCTGTGAAGTCTCTCTGTGACAGCTGGATGAATCGCTAGCAGCAGCTATGAGTAGCTGTTTCAACTGAGAGGGCAGAGATGTAGACTTTCAAAACAAAAACCACAGGACTCTGAAATGTTCTTCCCATAGATTGCCATCTATCATGCCATTACTGTACATCAATAATAATGTAGGTATTTAAAAAATATGATGGCTGTCTCTTTAGAATGGCTCAAGAGCTCAGTAACTTGTACAGTCAAAGGAGGGCCTTCTGTAAAGATAACTTGCTCTGAGAGGAAGCTGTGCCATAGGATTGTGTTTTGAACTTCAGGGATGTATAGCACATGGATCAGAAACAGCACAACCCCTTCCAGAGGAGCCTATGATTTTGGTACAACCTGGATATCTCCAGCTGCTATTTCAGAACACAGAAATGTTGTTTTCCTGAGCAGAGAGTAATAACCATGTATACAAACATTTTGGAAAGAACAATGGCAATTGGGTAACAAGAACTAAGAAAATATTGTTAGAAAAACAATAAGCAGAACAGTAATTTTTACAAAGGTAAGGTAAAGGTAAAGGTTCCCCTTGACAATTTTTGTCCAGTCGTGTTCGACTCTAGGGGGCGGTGCTCATCCCCGTTTCCAAGCCATAGAGCCAGCGTTTTGTCTGAAGACAATCTTCCGTGGTCACATGGCCAGTGCGACTTAGATACGGAACGCTGTTACCTTCCCACCGAGGTGGTCCCTATTGATCTACTTGCATTTGCATGCTTTCGAACCGCTAGGTTGGCGGGAGCTGGGACAAGTGATGGGCACTCAGTCCGTCACGTGGATTCGATCTTACGACTGCTTGGTCTTCTGACCCTACAGCACAGGCTTCTGCAGTTTAGCCCACAGCGCCACCACGTCCCATTAACCACTCTATAACGTATTCTATATAAAGGATTTTACATTATTGTCAGTAATTTTTACAAAGATAACCACATGGTTATTCACAGGGCAGTGAAAACATGCAACATTGGGGGCTAATAATTCTGCAGTGCGGGCACTCTATAACATATTCTATATAAAGGATTTTACATTATTGTAAAATGGCAAGGTGCCTGCCAGCAGCAACTTAACAACAGCTTGAATGGTAAACTGCTCAGTAATCAAGTATGCATATCAACATAATCCCTTCAAAATGTATCTTGAAGGAATTAAGTTAAATGTAACATAAAGGTTATCTGCTATCAACTATACAAGATAGATACCTGCTATGGAAGTCAACATACTATCAATTTCAGCTATAAAAACGGTAGCTGAAATCTGGTTGTTATCCCTTCTAGGGTAGTCCCGCTAAATCAATTGTTGAATGATGCATCAACATGTACACAATCCTATTGATTCAATGGATCTATTTCAGTTGGGACTGACAATTGGATTCAGGCCACATTTTCAGAAAAGAGGCGAACAATCAGGCTTCAGGTTGATAAGAGAGGCTGAAAAGAAATGGAACATGTTTACCTCCTGCATCCAGATGCTGAAAGGCCTCTGCCAGGAGTCCTTTTTCTCCAAGTGAAGGTACTCATTGAACAGGATGAGATAGATATAGCGTTCCAAGTACTGTAAACTCCTCAGCTTCAGCGTCTGCCTCTCCTTGTCCTCCTTAGCAGTCTTCCCCTGAAATCAGTAATTTTCTATAAGTCTCAAGCTGCACAACACGCCTTCGTTTTATTAAAGTTACAAAAGAAACCAAAGCACAAGGGTCCCTTCCAGTATGGGATATGCAATAGAATGTCTCTTTTCTGCTAAATAAAGCTAATTAAGAAGCTCTGAAAGTTAAATTAGAAGCTGCTGTGCAGATGGGAAACACTGACAAAGTGGAGCCTCTCAGTGCTGGAGCAAAAAAGGCTTGAAGGTAGGAAAGAGCCACAGGTTTTACTCTGAATGCTCATACTGCCATGACTCCAGGATGGCCTGTGACACATTTCCAAACTCTTGCCTCACTAAGAAATCTCTCAGTGGATTAGCCAGGCTCCTCTGCAGCCCCTTCCGCATCTGCACAACTGAAATAGGTGGTAAATATTATAGGAATCCACAATATTTATTGCCCCCTTCAAGGCCAAGAAACAGGCTTGTGGCATAATGGGCTTTGTACTGATGGATGAATGTGGCTCACTGCTGGACCGTATATTTCCATCCCTGTCATCTCCACACATGGGCAGGAAAGGGTCTATATATATCTAGCCTGAAACCTGGACAAATGATGGTTGCTCACAATTTTTAAAAAGCCTAGCAAAACATCAAGATGATTAAGGCTGTGTTTTTAAGACCATTCCAACTGAACCCATGTACAATCTTGGCCCGAAATATTGGCACCCTTGCAATTCTGTCAAAAAATGCAACCCTTCTCTCAGAAAATTGTTGCAGTTGCAAATGTTTGGGTACTCGCATTTTAATTTCTTTGGTTTGCGTTGGAACAACACTGACACTACGTTGCGCCCCAAAATCTTTGGCAATCATCAGAGTTCATGAGAACGTTCACACAGTCAAGGCATCCAGTGCAAGAAGCAGCAAAGGAACCCCAAAACATCTTTGAATCCCCACTGTGTTTGACTGTAGGGACTGTGTTCTTTTCTTAAATCCGTTTTTTTTTCTGTAAACAGTGTCATGATGTCCTTGACCAAAAAGCTCTACTTTTGTCTCATCTGTCCACAGTACCTTCTCCCAGAAGGATTGGGGTTTTGTCACATACATTTTGGCATACTCCAGTCTTGCTTTTTTTATGCCTTTGCGTCAGCAGTGGTGTCCTCCTGGGTCTCCTACCATAACATCTCTTTTCATTCCGATGGCGACGGACAGTGCGAACTGACACTGTTGTACCCTGTGTCTGCAGATCAGCTTGAATTTGTTCAGAAGTTAATCTGGGTTCTGCACCCATCATTTGAACAACCCTTCACTGTAATTTTTCAGTAATTTTGCTCTTCTGTCCATGTCCAGGAAGGTTAGCTACAGTGCCACGGGCTGTAAACCTTTTGATAATATTGCGCACAGTGGACACAGGAACATTAGGATCTCTGGAGATGGACTTATAACCTTGAAATTGTCAATGTTTTTCAACAATTTTTTCTCTCAAATTCATAGACAACTCTTTACACTTCATTCTTTTCTCCATGCTCAGTGGCACACACAACACAAAGGTGGGGTCAACATTTCTCCATCTTAACTGGTTGCAAGTGGGATTACTATATTGCCCACACCTCCTACTTGCGACAAGTGTGTCTAAATACAAACTAAAGGAGCATCACGTGCTTGAAAAGCAATTATTTCTTATAATTTAGACAGGATGCCAGTAATTTTGGCCAGTGCATATTTTGGGTTTCTGTGTGGGATTGTATCAGATTTGATTTTTCTTTGTCTTTTTGTGTTGCTCCAATGCAAACCAAGGAAATGAACATATGAGTACCAAAACATTTGCAACTGCAACAATTTTCTGAGAGAAAGGTTGCATTTTCTGACAGAATTGCAAGGGTGCCATGACGGTATGGGAATCTCAAAATGTTACAAATATATGCTTTGTAATGAAAAATGCTCCACAAATTGCAAAGGTGCCATGACTGTATGGGAACTATATGCTTTGTAATGAAAAATGCTCCACATGCTTCAAAACTTTAGCACTGATGACTATGCATAAATCTAATAATTTTCAAATTACAGAGTTGCACAAGAGTTATTATGTTTCCTCAGCTATTTTCACAACTGCAGTGTAAGGCGAAAAGTGCAGCCCATGGAGTCCACTTAGGTCTGATTTTAATTTCCCTTTTATTTAATTCAAAATATTTTTACTCCGCCTTCCTCCTTAAAAAGAACCCAAGGCAGAATACATCATTAAAAGACAATAATAAAGCTAAAACAGGCATAGAAACGTTAAAAAGGAACAAACAAATACCACTGTGAAAGACGGTGAACACAAGTAATACTAAAGATCCCATCAGAGCAATAATGCATAACAATCCTTCTAAGTCACACTCATATAGCTTGCCTGAAAGTCTTTGCCTGCTTGCGGAAGACCAGTAAAGACGGAGCCAGCTTGGCCTCCTGTAGGAAGGAGTTCCTAAGTTTGGGAGCAGCAGCAGAGAAGGCCCTCTCCCAAGTCCCTACCAAATGCATCTGAGAAGGTGGTAGGACCAAGAGGAAAGCCTCTCCTGATGACCCTAACACTCGAGCCAGCTCATAATGGGAGACACGGTCTTTGAGACACCTTTTCCTTATTTGATACAAGATAAATAGAAGGAACTTTACTCTAGCCCTGCTGATATATGGTTACTTTCAGCTTTAGTTTATTCTTGCTCTTTAGAAATGCTGAGAGATGCTTCATGCCTTAGAGCTTCTCTCTCTAGCAGCAACTCAGCAACTGCCCTGTGGAAGCCTGTACTGCTCTGATTGTCTTGAACAGCCTTTCACAATGATGCTGATCATGTACTGGTCGTCTCAACACAGAGCTAAGGAAAAGTGACCTTTTGGAATGACAGCTCCCAGAAACCCAGTGGATTCTACAAGTGCCTAGGCAAAATAACAATAAAAAATAAAATAAATAAAAATAAATTTAAAAATAGACTTTTCCAAGCCCAGGTTTGATACATCTGGAAGGCATCAGGTTGGGGGATCCGTGCCAAACCTGCTAGCTATTAATGGGAAGCTTCTTTTCCCAGACGGACAGGTATGGTGAGAGAGAGAGACACACACTTTCTCTCTCTCACACACAAACACACCAGTTCGACTTCATTAGCTTCTATTAGGGACCTGCACTGTGCAAAAATTTCCTTTAAAACCCCCTCTGATAGTCAGCGTTTAGAATGAAGCATTTCTTGAGCTGGAGAGAGCAGAAAAGCTTGGAAAGGTAGCTGAAACAACAGGGCCTTGAAACTTGGCAATCCAAGCCCTCATTAAATTGTACCATATGCTAACACTTTCCTCATTTAAACACAGGGCCCCAAAATAGAAAAAAGTGTTGTCATGTGCACTTGCTTTTAGATATATATGCACAAGGTAACAATAAAAGGGGGGGGCAGAATAGACAGCCACTGAGATTTCAAGTTACGAACCATACTGTTGCTTTATATAGCACTAGTATTCCTAAAGGCTGTAGCTACCAAAAATTAGCCCCATCCTATTTCCTGTCCCTGCCGTGACCTCAGCTGAATCATGACGACACCAAAGTAGCTACCAGGTTAGGTGTCTAAGATGCATTTTGGTTTTTATTCATAGTTTCTGGCTGAGCACAGAGGTTAAACTATCTTCCAGTTCAAACGTATCTTTAAGCAACCACTTTGCTATAAGTAGAAATTAGCAATTAGCTTTACAGAATAGAAACACCAAAAAACAAAGAGAAGCAAAACCCAAGGGCTTGAGCAAACAGTGTCGCTCACTCACACCCAAAGGCTGCCATGCTGGTACATGGTTAGAGTGACTAATGTCCACATGCAGAAGAGCTTCCATCTTGTATTCTTATCAGAGTCACTGTTTTGAGCTGCTTTTTTAGGGGAGGATAAGTCTGAAGAGAATTATCCATCCGGACTGAAAGATAATTGCTATGAAGCAAGGAAAGAACTCTGAGGCTGCAAACCTATGTCAACTCACCTGAGAGTAATGCTGGTTAAACTCAACACGACTCTTGAGTTGACCCTTCTAGGGTTCTTCTATAAATCACATAGAAATGCAGTGAGTAACCTGCTATGGTGGTATATTGGGTTTACAGGAACTTTTCAACCATTTTTTTCATCTTCTTGCCTATTCTCTGGTTTACCTTCATGTTGGGAATCACTAAGCTCTGCACTGTAACACTGTCCAGGCTACTAAGGATAAGACCTTGCCCTTTCACATTAAAGAAAAAAACCTTTTCCGTAATATCACCGAACTGCTACTGTGTCTGGCCAGACTAAATGCCATTTGTTGATACTTTTACATCCAGTATCTGGATCCTGCATGAATAGGCTGTTATATTCTTTGTTATCCCTGAAGTCTTACATTGCCAAACTATGAGGAAAATACAACACAACATGGCCTATTAGAAACAGCGTGAACATGGTCTACATGCCATAGAGATTTTAAATAAACCCTACAAACAGACAGAAAGAAAGAAAGAAAGAAAGAAAGAAAGAAAGAAAGAAAGAAAGAAAGAAAGAAAGAAAGAAAGAAAGAAAGAAAGAAAGAAAGAAAGAAAGAAAGAAAGAAAGACCACACCATACTATACTGTACCATATTTTTTAAAAGGCACACAGGGCTGTGTGAAACTAATTCATACCATTACATTTAACATGAAACAGATGATAATCCTGGTTTCCTGACACAAGTACCTAACATGACAAAAATCCAGTGTGGCGTAGAGCTTACGGGATTGGATACTTCATCGAAGAGGCTCCTTATGTCATCTGGGCCCAATCATTCACTCTCAGGCTAACCTACCCAATAGGGTTATTGCAAAATAAAATAGGAAAGGGCAAAATATACACTGCTCATAGTCCCTTGGAAGAAATGGTAAGATATATAGGTAAGAAATGCATCTGCAAAATTGCTTCTTGCATTCATATTTGACATTAGGGACATACATTAAACACCTAAAATATATGGAAAGGGCATTTATTGTCACTGAAGTCAGGATGACTTTGGTACTATACTCA